CCTCAACCGCCAAAATCGCCGCCCTCAACCACGCCAATGCGGTTAGGAATGACAGTCGTGGTGCGGCCAGCAGTTGCATCGAAATACCGTTTGTCCCTACTCCACCTGCGAGCGTGTTCTCCCAAACAAAGATATCGACCGTGCTTGATATGTGGAGTTTAACGTTCCAAAACCACCATATGATTACGAGAGTCGCCGTAGTGGTGGGCTCCGGAAATTTCGACCACCTGAGGTTCTTTAACGTGCACCCAAATCTGAGCACAGGGGTCTATAACATTTCCGTATCCATCGGAAATGCAGCCGGGATTCGATCCCATGATCTGCGGGTCAGCAGCCGAGTACCTTAGCCACTAGACCACTGCGGCGGCGCTATCGATCGTGTTTTGGAAGTATCGCGTTTGTTTATTTTTTTTTTTCTCGTTCACATCTAACGTCTTTCTCCGAAAAACGACTAAAGTACCGACAGCACAAGCAGCGGCAAAGCCACGCTAATCATTTAAGAAGTAGTGTGTAGAAGTCGGAACTTTCTGTGTGGCGAGCGCGAATGTCTGGAGTTTCGTTCGAATCCGACTGCGTCTGTACGTGGGCGCCCGAACGGTTCGATCGTTCGTTTTGTGCGTTCGGTGTCGTTCTGGGTGGAAGTTTGGCGGTGCTTATGCAAAAAAATAAAAAAAATAAAAGAAGGAACGGGAGGAAAGAATAAAAGCCATTTTCATACTTTTCTCACTTTCCCTTTTTTTTTCTTTTGGTAATGGTCAGTTCCTCTGTTCCTCGCTCGCACTTGTAGAATTCGCTCGTTTATTCGTCAATTCGATTTTTCGTTAATTCCGGCATTTTTGTGTGTGTGTGTGTCTTGCTGCCTATGCAGCGGTAAAGTTAGTTTCTTTCTTTCTTTTCTTTCTTTCTTTCTTTCTTTCTTTCTTTCTTTCTTTCTTTCTTCCTTTCTTCTTTCTTTCTTTCTTTCTTTCGTTCTTTCTTCTTTTATTTTGACTTCATTATTTGCCTCTCAATGTATATCTCTTTCTCTCTCATTCACTCCTTTTCGATTTCTTTCTTTCTTTACTTTTCCTTCTATTCGTCAATTGCATATCTACCGTACAAACACCCTCCCCTCCGTTCGACAGTTCTCGCAGGCTCTCACGGCTTTTAGCCTAACCGCGACGTATGCCTCCCCGTATGCCACGTCCAGACCCCGCCCACTTCAAAAGGAACCCCGACCGACGTTGTTATGTTTCTTTTTTTTTTGCTTTCTCTCCGTTTATTTCCTTCTTTCAATCTTGTTTCCTCCTTTCCCCTCCGCGTCTGGATACCCCACCCTATTTTCGAACAGTATTTTGGAGCCTGCGGCGTATTCGATTCAATCGAATTAGTTTATGTACTAGCGAAGCACCTCTTTCACCTACACACGTGTGCACACTACACAATGACCAAAAAGTGTTTGTTAAGCAGGTATTTCGTGATTTATGTATTCACGTATTTCGTGATACGGTTTTGTTTTTCTTTGTCTTTCCTTCCTTCTCTCCCTCGTTCAGTACGCCTAGGTCTTGGTAACGGTGTGCGTGAAAAAAAAAAAAAGCTTGGCTGAACAAAAGTAAGAGAAAAAGGGGGTGGGGTAGACGGATGTGACATTTACCATGCGTCATTAAATGTGAGAGAACACAAGGAAGTCTTAAGAAAGAATGAAATAAAAAAAGAGAGAGAGAGAGAAAGAAAGAAAGAAAGAAAGAAAGAAAGAAAGAAAGAAAGAAAGAAAGAAAGAAAGAAAGAAAGTGTTCGTCAGGGCCCCAGACGACCGCACACTGCCATTTTTCTTTGTCTTTCCGTAAAGCTGGCTTTTCCTGTAACTGCCCTTGTGTAGGAGAAGCACGCTTTAAAGGCGGCCCTTCCGCTCGTTCAGACCGCTGGTCGCGTATTGTTGATCCTTGTTTAGATCTCCCGTTTCTGGTAAAGCTTAAATTCAAGTTAACTCACTTATTTCATGACGAATTATCTTTTTTTGCAGTGTTTTTTATTCTTTCTTTCTTTTTTATCACGTGGAAAAAAAGGGGGGGTGGCTTTTTGAGAAAAAGCATTTTGTTCCACAAGCCAAGATAGAGGATAAAAAAATTGGTGTGCCAAAGGACCTCTTCTTTCAATCTTTAGTTGTTTACATGGCGAGTTTCTCTCTCTCCTATAAAAAAAGGGGGGGGGGTGTCGGTAATTTTACATACATTTTTCCTGACTTGACACGACGTACGTCTTGTTCATCTGGTTCACGTTTGTCGTGCGGCAATAAATCGAATCTTGGCGCTATTTCTTATTTTGTCGTCCTTCCTACTTTAACTAGATTGCCGATCGTCTCACACGACGTCCGCCGTGACGCTTTAACCGTTATTTTTTTCTTTTTTTCTTTGGCGTTTCAAGCTTGAATTTACGCGGAAGGGGAGAACGTTTTCGCGAGGTTGTTGAAGTTTTTTTTTATTTTGCTGTTTTGTAACATTCGAAGCTTATTCACTCTACTTGTCGGTATCCCGTGGGCATTCTGTTTCTCGTCTCTCTTTCTTTGTTTTATTGTGTTAGATGTCGTGATCTTTGTTAAGCCAACTGTAAAGCGAACTACACGAAAACGAAACAATGGAGCAAACAACAAAAGAAGGAAATGTGAGACTAATGTTGCTCTGCTGGTTTTGCTGTTGTGCTTGATCCTGTGACTTCCATTACTGACCTGCCCCCTTTGATTGCTGCGAAAACGACACCCCTGAGAATCGAGAAGAGATATGGGCATCGCTTTGCCTCCTACAGTTTCGTGGTTCCTTCTTTGAGTGGTACGAAACAGGAAGTACCTTAAATAAATAATGGAAAACAAGCGCTGGTAGCTGATTCGCTGTAGTCGTTGGAAGTGCGGTTGTGTCAGCGAGCGAGTCCCTGATGCTTTTCGTTTCCGCTGCGACCCGCGCCATTTTAGAATCGCACTGAGCATCGTTAAGGACGTTCAGATAAACTCTGCTGCAGATCGACGAAGGGAATGCTAATGACGGGGAGAAGCAGGGCGCATCGGATCGCGATTCGCGGCCTTCTGTATTGTTCCGGTTGGTGGCCTTTCGTTTTATTCTTCGTAACCTTTTTGTTCTGCTCATACGCTTTGATTGATCGGTGGTTAAACGTCGGGAGTTTCTTACGGTGTTGAGCGCTTTTATTTTGTTTCTCTTTCGAAACCACATGTGTGCTACGTACGCTCTGTAGGCTCTACTGCGCACAGATGTTTCGCACCTGCGCTTCGACTAGGGACTACGACGAGCCCTGGACAACGGCGGTTTTCGTGCGACCCCTTAAGTTGCCGCGAAAACCGAGGGGCGGCGAAGCCGTAAGCGCGCGAGTGTACGTGATTGGATTGTCAGGTCACGTGACGTCATAAATGCGCCGTTGGAGATGAAGTTCACGCGCTTGCGCGTTTAGAGCACCATCATCATAATCTAGAGCATCATAGTCATCATCATCATGATTTCGTTTTGTTAATTTTCTGAAACACTTTCCTATATACTGTAATTCTACTACTACTACTACTACTACTACTACTACTACTACTACTACTACTACTACTACTGCCACCACTACCATGTATATATATATATCTACCTTTCTCTCTCTCTCTCTCTGAGAGAGAAGAGAGAGATAATAGCTCTGTTTGTCTTGTATTCTGAAGAATATGCAAGAAAGTAGGAATGATGCTACCGCCGTGTGGAATATGTCTGTAGTTTGGAAATGATGAGAAACCCTCGCAACACACGGGGTGAACGAACTGACCCTCTTCAAGTCGTTGCTTGACCTCTTCAGGGCGGCAAGCTTCAGGTTCCCTTTCAAGCTTCCATCCTTCCCGGAACTTCTGCCCTGTAGGTTGGAAGAAAGTTGTATGAGAGAGGAACGATAGCGAACGGTACAAAGAAAAAAAAAAACCTTGTGGGACGGCGTCCGGTCGCTATGCGAACCGTGCTCTGCAGTCGGCACTGCCTATATAGTCAGCGCACTCTCTTTGCCTCAGTTTAACTACGAAGCAACACGGCAGGTTCCCCACGAATCCTCGATGAGAAGGTTCAACTGCCGCCTGAAGCGCTCGCAATTGAACAGAGTGCGCTGCGCTGGTACCGACGTTTGTCCTTCTCTGCGAAATTTGTCACCCTTGAATGAAGGCAAGTCTGGTAAATTAGATGAAAACACGTGCAAGGGGGGGAGGGGGGCTACGTTGGGTTCACTGCGCGAAAACCGTCTCCTAGTAATCCACAGTTATCCGGAGTGTGGCATCTCTAGTTACGCACGCTAGTTATTATTTTTTGTATTATTAGTAAGTGCTGGACTGACTGAAGACAGTATTTCGCCAGCGAAAACGTTGCCTTCAATGACACCCATGGGTGAACCATCGATCGATCTATTGATCAATCCATCAATCAATGAATCACATTTACTGCAAGATGAATGACAAATTTCTCGTTTGGAAACATTGGATCCCGTGACATCCATTGTTCTAACCTCGTGGATCTATCTATCTATCTATCTATCTATCTATCTATCTATCTATCTATCTATCTATCTATCTATCTATCTATCTATCTATCTATCTATCTATCTATCTATCTATCTATCTATCTCTATCTATCTATCTATCTATCTACTATCCGTGACATCCATTGTTCTAGCCTCGTGGATCTATCTATCTATCTATCTATCTATCTATCTATCTATCTATCTATCTATCTATCTATCTATCTATCTATCTATCTATCTATCTATCTATCTATCTATCAAGTTGCGAGCTCAGCGTTCGCGTCATTCTCTTCTGGCCGTCTTGTCACTGCGTTGCGATCTAAACTATTCTACGACAGCGAATCAACTCAATCAATCGGTCACACCACTTATCCGCGATCGGGCGCGCACGAAGACTCCGCGCCCCTTTCGCGTGAAGTGATTGCGGAGTTCCCGACTATCCGAACTCACACTCTCTCCCCCTTTTCTTTTACTCTTCGCAGGTTGTGACTCCCTCGCCTCCTGCTGCGACTTACTGCTCTCTCCTCTTCCTAACTTCTCCACCATCACATCCTCCCCCGGAGTGTCCCCTCTCCCGTCCTCCTCCTCCTCCGACGGCGTCGGCGAACTGTACGAAGCGCTGCGGCCCCACGCCCGGCGCCTGCGGTCGAGGCTAGTGCTGGAGCGCTGGCTGCGCGACCACCGCCTGCCGCCGCCGTCCGTCGCGGCCCGCTCTGCAGCTGCGAGCGGCGACCGGTCCGCCGCTCGTCCGGCTGTCGTCGATCCCGAGGTCTGCGACGCGACCGGCGGCCAGCGGTCCGCCGATTCGCAGCCGTCCTTCTTCTCCGGCTGGCCCAACCTGGGATACGGGTGAGTGGCCGGGGGCACTTGCCGATTTTTGCGTGCGAGCACGTGCGTTGTTTATTTATTTATTTATTTATTTATTTATTTATTTATTTATTTATTTAAACATACTGCCAATCCCTCGCGAGATTCTCGCAGGAAGGGCATAGAAACAGTACATGTCAGAGATTTTCAAGAGATGTGGGGTTACACAGTCGGTGGAGTGTAGTACGCATTATACATTCTTCATTGAATAAGTATGAACAAGGAACGCATACATTTTACAAAAGTGACATACTGTACAGGTACAGGACATGCGTAGAAGCCGGTTCTGGCGTTTGAAGGAAGGAAAACAAGAGAGAGAGAGAGAAATGAAATGCATGGATCTTAACCTGTTTAGCACAACCGATGTGCTACCCTTGCACAGGGCAAACGGGTGGGAGAGATATAAAGGAGAGTATCGAAAGGGATGGGGGAGCACACACTGACACAACGGTACAGAGCAGAACGGCGTTGTTGTGCGGTGTGCGGCTTTGCTGTGAGTCATGGAGCGAACCGGTGCTAAGGATATCACAATTGAAATCAAGAAGAAGAAGAAATGGACATGGGCCGGGCCCGTAGCGCGCAGGCAGGATAACCGCTGGCCAGTAAGGGTAACTGACTGGATTCCCCGGAAAGGCCAACGCACGAAGGGGAGACAGAAAGTTAGGTGGCCCGATGAGAATAAAAAGTTCGCAAGTATGAAGCGGCAAACGGGACGCACAAGACCGGGTTGACTGACGGATCATGGGAGAGGTCTTTGCCCTGCAGCGGGCGTAGTCAGGCTGATGATGATAATGTATCCGCCTCTGGTGGCTGGGTGCTTGTTTGATGGGGCCTATGTGCGGCGAATAAGAATAAGAATGGGGTGGAGCACATTCGGCAAGCACTCTCAAATTATGACAGGTAGATTGCCACTATCCCTCAAGAGGAAGGTATATAACAGCTGTATCTTGCCGGTACTTAGCTACGGAGCAGAAACCTGGAGACTTACAAAGAGGGTTCAGCTTAAATTGAGGACGACGCAGCGAGCAATGGAAAGAAAAATGGTAGGTGTAACCTTAAGAGACAAGAAGAGAGCAGAGTGGATTAGGCGACAAACGGGGGTTAAGGATATCATAGTTGAAATAAAGAAGAGGAAATGGACATGGGCCGGGCATGTAGCGCGTAGACAGGATAACCGCTGGTCATTGAGGGTAACTAACTGGATTCCCAGAGAAGGGAAGCGGGTTAGGGGGAGACAGAAGGTTAGGCTGGCAGATGAGATTAAGAAGTTCGCGGGTATAAATTGGCAGCAGCAAGCACAGAACCGGGTTAACTGGCGGAACATGGGAGAGGCCTTTGTCCTGCAGTGGACGTAGTCAGGCTGCTGATGATGATGATTATGATGTGCGGCGAGCGGGACAAACGTTTTTAGGTCGAGCACAAGGCCCCCCCGAGATACTTTTAGCTGTCTGGAGCATGTTTGTTATTCCTTTGTTTTGGGTCACAGAGGGACGATGTAGCACACGCGGGAGACACGCGTAGGACCTAGACGGCAGAGTTGCGCACAATTGACGTCATCATCAACCTGACTACGCACACTGTACTGCAAGGGCCTCGTCCCATGTTTTACCGACCGACTCCGTCTTGTACTTGTTAAGGCCACGTTATATATACCCGCACACTTATCATCTTTTTTTCTACCCACCAAGCTTTTTGCCTCCCCCTCGTGCAATCGCCCTCTCTTCGAATCCTGCTTGTTATTCTTAACCCTCTAGTGCCTGAATTATGAAACCGCCGAAGAAAAAAAAACTAAATAATTTTCACTTTCAGCTCTTAGTAGCAACTTTTAATTGATTCCGTAGTTAAGTAGTCTGAAATTCAACTTTAATGCACACGTATTGGTGTGTCTAAGAGATCGCGACATGCCGCGAAACGACGCTCTTGCAATAAAAAGAAAGAAAAAAGAATTCGACAGATCCCACGTACCTCGCAATCGACGTTATGCGAAGCATGCGCTGGGAAGGTGATGCTGTTGCAATTTTTTTTTTTTATTCAGCGACACTTCATGAAATGACGCTATATATAAGTACTAATGTTGCACGCACAGACATATGTTGCAGATGTTTATGTAACCAGTTGTCCACTCTTGTGCAACGATGCCACTAGCCGTAACATGCGTATTTAGCAACACCAGAAGCTGATATGAAGCGCTGATGCTCGCGAGGATGTTGGTTCTGGACACTGCTCCATAAATCAACCTCAGCGCATTGCAAGTAACCACAAGTGACGTTAACACGACCTGATGGCTGTATCAAACCAGTACATGTGGAATGCTTATAAAATTGGGTAGGCAGCACTGCAACGAATATTCATGTTTCACGAAGATTAGCGTCTATTTGAGAAGTAGCACCGATTGATTGATTGATTTGTGGGGTTTAACGTCCCAAAACCACCATTTGATTATGAGAGACGCCGTAGTGGAGGGCTCCGGAAATTTTGACCACCTGGGGTTCTTTAACGTGCACCCAAATCTGAGTACACGGGCCTACAACATTTCCGCCTCCATCGGAAATGCAGCCGCCGCAGCCGGGAATCGAACCCGCGCCCTGCGGGTCAGCAGCCGAGTACCTTAGCCACTAGACCACCGCGGCGGGGCGAGAAGTAGCACCGAGACCTCGGCCTAGCTCTGTGGTAGAATGCTTCATTGACACGCAGAATGCTTGGGCTCAATTCCAGCTGGGACCCTGACGTTTATTCTCTGCATTCGTCGGGTGGACGCTACCGATGTCGGGTATTTGCTAACGCTCGCGCGTTAAAATTGCCCATGTGTGTCCTCGTCGTTCCTGGGTAGATACGAAGTGTCAATCACCTGTGGCACATACCCGCTTACCAGCGGCATATACCCGCCCGTGAGTATGTGCCACTGTCTGGCGGGAAGTGTTTGACGACGTACGTGATGGTATTGTGGCAATACTTATGTCTTGACCAGCGCGTCATATTCATCAAATCATCTTACCCTCCCATGCTAATTTTGGTTCACGCCAAGTTAAGGGGGTGACCACTAGAGCACCCGAACATAAGCGACTAGATAGATGGATGTATAGATAGATAGATGGATAGATAGATAGATAAATATATAGATAGATAGATAGATAGATAGATAGACAGATAGATAGATAGATAGATAGATAGATAGATAGATAGATAGATAGATAGATAGATAGATAGATAGATAGATAGATAGATAGATAGATAGATACGCCCAAAGTCGCCGAAGTTCGCCAAGAAAAGCTTCGCATTTAAAACGTTCGTCAGAACTACGTAACTCGTCGTGTGCCGTCCCTTGGGTGCGTACGCACCAAATAAGAAAAAAAGAAAAACGTGGCTGATTCTTCGTTCTAGGAACCGGTATAACGCTAAAGTGGAACGTGTCTTCAGAGATGGTATCGTTGAGCGTTTATTGTGCATCGCTTCACCACAAGGGTGGAGGAATGAATGTTGCAGAAACAAATTGAGAAACCACGCGTGGTACGGCAAGTAGCTCGAAAAAAAACTTGCAGCTCGCATCCCGAGCAGGAAGCACGCACAAAATGAGCACACGCAAGACGAGCGCGTACCAACAACTGTCACAGCTCGACACTTTGATTGATTGATTGATTGATTGATATGTGGGGTTTAACGTCCCAAAACCACTATATGACTATGAGAGACGCCGTAGTGGAGGGCTCCGGAAATTTAGACCACCTGGGGTTCTTTAACGTGCACCCAAATCTGAGCACACGGGCCTACAACATTTCCGCCTCCATCGGAAATGCAGCCGCCGCAGTCGGGATTCGAACCCGCGCCCTGCGGGTCAGCAGCCGAGTACCTTAGCCACTAGACCACCGCGGCGGGGCGGTCGACACTTTGAAGCGCGCTGTTCAAACAGAAAGAGAGACGACGCACGAAACGAACAAGTATACACTGGACAAGCGCGAACAACTGCCAGGATTCTTTATTTGTTTGTGAGGAGCATGCTCCTTTCGTAAACGCGCCAGCAAGCCATGTGACCTTTGTGCACTTCCGGATCACGCGTCTGATAAGCGCGCGCGCAGGATATACCACGTTCAACGAGAGGCGAATATCGTATACAGCGCCCAACACGAGCACGTCGCGCCATCTCGCTACTGATGACGAAAACGCGCCGAAGTTACAGAGCTCTGAGGACTCCCAAACGGTGTATGGTGTATATAAATGGCTTGCCGTTAGCAGGCTTGACAACGTGCGCTTCGTGGCCAAGTGTTTGCGGAGCGTCGAACCAGCAACCGTGATGTCGCTGGTTCGACGCCCCGCAACAAAACCATCCTTCTAGTTTTTTTTTTAAGACGATAGTCTTTCTTGGGGACCTTCGACGAAAAAATTTTGGTCTGTCTGTCTGTACATTTGTCTTTGTCCACTCTTACCGGCATCGGGCACTTGAAACGGCTGACCCCATGGTTGAGCGTTCGTGCTTGTGCAATTGTCAATTCAAAAACAATTATTGCGCATGTCTGGGGCACCATAACAACACGCATATATTCTGCATATGCATCTCTTACTAGAAAACGCATACATAAGTAATTTTAAGGAGCGTAGCGCTTATCACGCTGCGCTTACCATGCAACGCTTGCACGGAACGGGGAGTGTTTCCAACGCTTTGCTAAGACGAGATGGTGGTGGCACCTACCCGTCGCCTCGCGTTCTACACTTTGTAACCTCCGAGACGGGCGCGCACGCCGTGCGCGCGCTTCGTTTTCCAAGATAACTGCCAGATGGCGCTCATCTCTCACATGTGACGTGACTTGATGCGCTCGTTCGCCTCCGCTGCACGCTCGAGGCACTCTAACGCAGCGCATCCAGAATTCCATTCACTGATGTTCTTGTGCAGAATATGAAATAAACGTTGTGTTCACTCTCTCTAGACGCAAGATTATCGCCTTTCGACGACATTTGCAGTGTAACAGGCAGATACCGGGCCATTTTTTTATT